GAAAATTCGATCTGGTGAACAGCTGAGTTCAGCTTCGTATCACCAAAGAATTAGGGGTGGGCGATAATAAGTAGTTGTTTTGTACCCCCTCTTTGAAAGCATATTATGCCCTAAATGTAACTAAAGCCCAGCAGTGAAGTTGCTGATCTTTACCCTTCTCTCCTATCACTGAAGATGGGCCGGGTCGTCTACAGAGCACCGCTAGTAGCTGTTAATGAAGTGATGTTTTGTTTTGTGTTATTTTAATTTGAGGGTTGTCCCATTTCGTAGGGCAAGATTTCAACCACAACCCCCTTTAACTCAGTTCCAAGGGGTTAGGGTGACACTAGAAAACAAGGGGCAGGGATGAAAAGAAGAAATGGGATTGGGCCTTTGTGTTCATCTCAGTATCCTAATTAGGGCAAAATATTCAAAAATTGGAGTTCTCATTTAAAGCCAAACCTGGGTTTGGAGGAGTCATTGAATATTTACAGCAGATGCTCTATAATATCCATCTTACATTACATCCAGAATAAACAAGATTGTTTATTCACCAACCCTAGCTCTTCTCTTGAATACCTCTGTGCACTCACGACTCAGCTAAAGTTAGCATAGTTTTGGCGCCTCACTCTCACACCCTCTCTTAGTCCTCTCTCTTGTGGCTAATGTGGGTGCATATACCATCACTTTAACACTACAGCAGCCATCTCCTCATATAGGATTACTCACACAACATGCGCAAACACTCCTCACGCTCCACTGCTAGATTGCTAATATTGGCGCAGCATGTAGGGGGGCTCTCCACATAGCGTGCTGAGTAAAAGATGAGACCGCCAGCATGTGCCTCACCGTTAGGACTGCCAGGGCCCTGACAATTATCCTGTCTTGGTGCAGATTTAATATTCACAGTGTGTCATGGAGCGATATTGCGCTCTCATGCGCTGTCGCTGCTACCATACAAGGACATCACACCTACAGATATTTGTCTGTTTATAGCGTTTTTATTACTCACCTGAACAAGTGCTTTTATTGGTTTCCTACAATAGATTCTGAAAATGAGGCATCTTCTGTAGTATTAATATCTTTCAGTAGCCGTGTGATCACGCAGGAGTTTTTCTGTGTCAACTTCTTTTTTTTCTGAGTTTGTGGCAGATCTTAGCTGAGTAATTAACATGCTGATGGATTACCTCCAAAAGCGGCTTTCTGAGCTTATTATCATAAATGCACTTATGATCACCCGACCTTGGAGTTTCACTCAGCGCAGCAGTGGCATAATTACTGGGAGGCTGGGGTTGGGGGGAGGCAGGCCCCTAAAATCTTTATTTGGCCCCTAATACACATGAAAAACAGTGACGCAATTCACACATGATGTTGCCCATCAGGACTCACCCTGTGTGTCCAGAGTGACTTTCTGAAGCTTTAGCGAAGATCCAGTCAGTAATCCAGTTCAGAAAACCACCGTTTACGTGCATTTAAATCTCATTTTAAATCTCCACAGAATTGTGTTCGGTATAAAACTTTCCATCGTGTCTCAAACAGTCCTTTGATTGACTCAGACTCTGAATTTAGTGCAGAAATTTACAGCTAAATATGCGTACAAAATGACCCGAATACAGTCAGACTTTCAAAACTGAGACTAACCGCTCAGCCTTGCAGTGTTCACATGCTGCTGAGCTGCGAGAGTGGATGAGAGACTGAGAGCACTTCCCCTCTTTCCCTCAAAATCACACAAACAGGCCCTAAAACACATTTTAACAGATAAAAACAATAAATATGACAAATATTATTATAAAGATTAATAATATTTAGCTCTGTCTTTCAGGTTACTTTGATTTTGAGTATTAAAAATATCTGATATCAAATATGCAACTCAATTTGTAATTAAAAATAAAGCCTGTCCTGCTGTGTATCAGAGTTTTAGCACTCAGCATGAATCCAAGAGGACAGAAAGATCAATAAAAAAAGTCCGCCTTATGGTAATTGTTTAATTTTTACTCATAATAACCTATAGAATGAATCACCATCAAAATGATTGCACTTTCAGCTCAAAGACACTCCAGACTAACAATTTCTGAAAAGGTATCTGAGGTGCAGCTTGTTTTCAAGATCTCTGTAAGCAAAAAATACAAATTTTGGAGACGCTAGGTAAATATTTGACCAAAAATGACCCAAATTCATAAAGATATCAAATTACTGTTAGCATTTACATGTCAAACAATGGCATATCTGAGTAGCCCAGGGTCTCCTGAAAATAACAACATATGGCATGTGTGACTGTCACATGTAAATACTTCATAATTGCAATTGTAATTGTAATTGACCCAAAATACCAAAAACAAATTCCCCCAAATTCTAGGGCTTTAAGAGTTAATGAGCCAAAACATTGTGACCACCTGCCAAAGTGTAGAGTCTGCAAGACCTCTAAAGGTGCAGTTTGGTATCTGACACCAAGACATTATCAGCAGATTCTTTATGTCCTGTATGTTGCGAGGTGGAGCCACCGCAGATAGGACTCCATCCATCCATCCATCATCTAAACCGCTTATCCTTCTGGGTCACGGTGGGGTGCTGGAGCCTATCCCAGCTGTCATTGGGCGGAAGGCAGAATACACCCTGGACAGGTCGCCAGTCCAGATAGGACTCAATCAGACAATTTGGACTCCAGGGTAACAGCTTCAACCGTTGAACAATGCGTGCAGTGTGGCAGGACGCATTATCTTACCGAACGAGGCCACTGCCATCAGGAAACCATTGCCATGAAGAGGTGTATGTGGTCCACTATGATGTTTAGGTAGGTTGCTTGAGTCAAATGGACGTCCACGTGAATGCACAGATCCAGGGATTCCCAGAGGAACATCTCCCAGATCATCACACTCCCTGTGTCTTCTTCCCATAGTGCATCCTGGTGCCATTACTTCGCCAGGTAAACACGCTCACGTACCTGGCCTTCCATGTGATTTAAAACACAATGGGACTCATCGGACCAGACAACCTTTTTCCATTGCTCCCAGGTCCAGTTCCCAGGCTTGTGTGGCCATTGTAGGTGCATTTAGACAGTGGACAGGGTTTAGCACGGATACTCTGACTGGTCTGTGGCTACACAGCCCCATACGCAGCAGGGTGCAATGCACTGTGTGCTGTGATGCATTCCAAAATCATTAAATATTTCTGAGACTTGTACCGCAGTAACCCTTGTATGGGTTCAGACCAGATGAGATAGGCAATGTGCCCTTGAGCATTGCTGAGCCTTGGGTGCCCAAAACCCTGTGTGAAGTTTGTATGTTTGTCCCTTCTCAGACCACTGTGGATAGGTACTCACCACTGCTGTGAGGGGTCATATCGGTGTAGATACTGACACAAATGTGCACCCATCAGTCACAGAAATGTCTGAATAACATTCCGCACCAGTTATCTTCCATCTACATGGACAGAACTGACATCTGTTTATCTCCCTTATATTCATAATGCAGGTCATCCATGATAGCCTCTTTTAAACGGATCCTTCACAACCTGCAACATCATATATTCATTCTTTATAATTCAGCAGTCTTTAATAGGTAGTCTAATGTAAACATTTAGGTTCATGTTAGTTGTTAGTGTGTGGAGTGGCACACCTTTAGATCATCAACTTGTTTGAGATATAGATCACTTTTTTATTTTTTTATTTCGCTGCTGTCGGAAGAAAACCTTGTTTTTCGGTTTTTGATGTATTTTGAAAATGCATGTTGCCTTTTACATTGTATGTAAATTTCATGATGAATGGACCAAAAGAAACGGCCCAAAACGACTTGGAAAAAAGTCTGGTTCCACTGACTTACATTAAAAGTAAAGTAGGTTTTTTCCGTCTGCTGTAAAGTCACCATTTTGGAGGTTTTGTTCAGACAGCAGTGATTTATTTATTTTTTGTACTAAAAATGTTTAAATTCATGGAGGTCGAGACTTGCAGACTTGATGTTGGTGTGTATGTAAGTGTATAAGTATATAAATGTGTATATGTATAAGATGTATAATGTGTGTTTGTGTAGTATCTACATATATATATATATATATATATATATATATATATATATATATAGATAGATAGATAGATAGATAGATAGATAGATAGATAGAGATACACACACATTTATATACTTGTGCGTGTCTGTGCATGTGCGTGTTTGCGTATTTAGAGACTTGCTACAAAAAACAAGCCTGAACGCCTAGAGATTAAGCAGAGATGAAAATCTTAATTCGATTTAACCCTTTCTTAGCCTTAGCTTAAAAAATGAGTCTTTCAAATGTATACTTAAGTGACATTTTTTTCCAAAAAAAGGAGGAAAAGACTTTTCTCAACCATCAATATGGACAATCTAACTGATGATCAGCAACACAGAAAATACAAATGCAAACAAAGGGGCACATTGTCCCGCTGTAAAGCTGTGGGGACCAGCAGAGTCTCAGAGTCTTCCATCAGCACGCCAAGAAAGGAGGAGGAGGAGGAGGAGAGGGAGGAGGGGGAGGAGGAGGTGAAGAAGGAGGGGGAGACGCCTCATGGAGGAGTCTCTCAGCCCTCACCAGACCAGAGCATCGTCCTCTCTGCGTTTTGCCCTCCACGCCCTGCGTTATTACCCGCCCCCCCCTGCCACCTTTGTTTGGATCACAACAAACCTCGAACAGATGGTGCCCTGCTTGGGCTCCGGCGACAACCACCAGCTAGCAACCAATCGCCTGAGCAGGAATCAGCTGACTCGTCTGGACGCCGTTATTATTTTTTTTAACCCCACCCGTATTCAGAGAAGCCCCGCCCCCCGCGCTACGATTGGCTTGTCCCGTTTCCTGCTCTAGTATATGATAGGCTGGTGGGTCAAGCGTCCTGCGCGAGGACTGGTCACTTGCGCCCAGTCTCCTGCGCTGGGATTGGCTAGTGCGTCTTCGCGCAGGTGGGCGGGGGGTTGTCGGAAAACAGGTGGGAAAAAAAGAAGCAGCGCGTCTATTCTAGCGTCAGGCGCTGTCATCACATTTTCCTTCGCGTTCAGAGCCCAGAGACTTCAGGTGGCGGCCAGTGAGCGGATTTGCTGCCTTCTTCTCCCCCTCGGACCATGCGCCTGGCCACGGCTGCGCAGGAATTTGCGCCGGGCGGATCTAACAGAGGCGTCCCCGTGTAGACCCAGGCAACCGGCTGGAGACGCGTGGAGCTCGGGAGCGATGTGATACAAGCAAACAGCGACTCACACATCGGCTCGTTTGTGGATTTTCCTGTTCTTTATCACTGTTGATGCTTCGGTTGGCGAGGACGGGGGTCATTTGCATGAGCTAGAGAGGACGCCAGGTGCAAGCCAAAGAGGTGAGCTCGTATTTTTAGACTAATTCTTGTTATTTAAACAGATTTTATTAAGCGCATGCAGCGATTTTGACCCTAACCCTCATGCTAAACAGCCAAGGCTTGCGGGCTCATTGCTTGCAGCATGACCATAATTAGTATTGGGGAGATGATGGAGCGAACTGATCTATGAAAATCAGTGGATCTGCTACAAGTTTTTAGAAATTAATCACACAGATTGCCTAAGAAATCGCTGCTCGTGTGCGGTGGAGGAATCAATTCTGGCCACGCTTTCGAAGGCGTTACAGGCTCGGCTGTTTACTGCGCTTGCACACTGCAAGGGCGCATCTGCTGTTGCGCTACAGATGTTCAAGGGCAAAACGAGAACACTTTGGCTGCACGCTTTAACCAGCATTGCACTCAGTGAAATATTCACTCATTCCTTTTTTTTAAAGCTCATTTCTCATAATGCGATCTGACGAATGACTATAAAACAGCAGGTAATATTTTGTTTCGTACGCTCAGTTTGTGCTACTGACGCATTTAGTAGGCACTCATTTACAGCTCGACTCATTTCCAGCAAGTTCGCTTCCCACTGTTCGAATTCTCTGTTCCACCTTAAATGGTGCGGCAGTTACATTCTGGCGCCCGTACCGAACGCAACTACGGTACAAGCGCTAGAACGTAGCTGCCGCACCATTTAAGGTGGACCGGAGAATTCGAACATTCGAACGAGAGGCTGAACTTCAGCCTCGTCCGCGCCTGGAAGGAAACTTTGATCCGCGCACTGTCGAGCGCCGAAAAAGAAATGATGATAATAAATGTGATTTGCATGCAAATGTGATGGCACCCTAGCAGATGTCTCGCTCGAGATGCGAGAAGTTTGGAAGGAGCGCAGACAATGAACACGGGAAGGCGTGTTTAAGTGAAAGGGAAGGATGCATAATGAGTTATGGTGAGGGGGGGAGGAAGAAGGCTTCTCGTATTGTCCTTCAGGGACGCCTCCCCTTTGCTTGCAGCTGTTGCGTCTGCAGAGCCAGCAGAAGTTCTGGTGGTGGAGGATGGGCATGAGAAACTGACGTTGATGAAGATGGCATAACGCTTGGACTGTGTATGAAAACCAACCACACATTATGAGAGATGACCCCATCATATTTGCCCCCAGGACCACAAGACAAACTTGTACCACTGTCACACTGTAGAATATGATCACATCCCTATGCACCTTCCATCGGCTCTACATGAACCATTTAGGAAACTTAATTTTAAGAGTGTTGAGTACTTGCTAGAAGAGAAGATCAGTGCTTTAGAAAAACCACTTTTGGTTCCTTAAAGAATCTTTCAATGGGTATTTTTTTTGTAAACGAGTGTAAAGAACCTTTGTTTTTAAGAGTGTTGAGTACTTGCTTTTAAAATGGCCAAACATGTAAAGAAATGCCTGAGAAGAACCGCTTTAAGTTCCCTAAAGAAGCTTTTAATGGATGTTTTAATATGTAAGTGTGAAGAACCTTATTAATACATACTGTGAAGGTTTTTTAAGAAAAGGGGGTTGTCCTAGAACTGGGTGTCCAAGCCAAGAACCATTTGTAAACCTTAAAGTGAGGTTCTTTTGTAAAGAGCTTTCCTAGAACTGTATGGCCAAGCCAAGAACCATTTATGAACAAGCTTCCATATTTGTGCCAGTATCAAACTAGTAGAATATTGTTTTTCATGTCTGTATGCATAGACTTTGATTCAGTTGGCACTACATGAACCCTTTAGGAGCTTTTATTTTTAAAAGTGTTGAGTACTTAATCTTAAAAGTGCCAAAAATGTGGAGCACTGCCTTCGAAGAACCACTTTTGACTTCCTAAAGAACCTTTCAGTGGATGGGGCTTACAGAATTGTGTTTGTAAACGAGATGTGAGTATGAAGAATCTTTGTAAAGTTGAAAGAACCTCTACATAATGTAAAGATACTACACCACTTAAAGATTTTTTTCCTAGAACCGTACATCCAAGACAAGAACCAGTTAGGAACCTTTGTTTTTGGGAGTGTTCACTTCAAAAAAAGGCAAATCCTCAATACATGTCATCACATCTATAGACTTTTCTTCAGAAACTTCACTCTGAAAAGTGCCAAAAGGGTTGAGGATGACTGGTAGAACCACTATTGGTTCCTTGAAGAACTGTTCGATGGATTGTTCTCTGAAGAATCTTATTTGTAAATGAGATATGTAACCTTTTTGTGATGCATTGTACGAGGGAACAGTACGTCCAAGTCAAGAACCTTTTAGGAACAGTATTTTACTAGATAAAGGCAGATGCTCTAAAACTTAAACACATGGAATCTTGCTGAAGGCACTCCTTAAAACATGTGACAGAGTCCTTTGAGCAAAGCCATAGAACCCTAAAGAACCATATTTAAAAACAAATTTCTGAGTGTAAAGAATCCTTTAGATGTTTAAAGAACATCTAAGAGATTCTTTACATAAAATATATTGCTTCTATACAAATGTAGGGGTTCTTTCTAGAACCTTTACAACTTTTAAAAAGGTTCTTCACACTCACACATCTCTTTTAAGAAACCAGAATCATCTATTAAAATGCTTTTTTTTGGGGGGGTGCAAATGTGTCCTTTTATGGCATCACATGGAGAACCCTTTGTGGAACCTTTGTTTATAACACTGTAGAGTGTGAGTACTCATTATTGGCACTACATTTATTGTACAACCACTAAAAATGTTCCATTGGGTTTTTGTCTGTGATCATAGCGTCCAGCCTTTGCCTGAGAAACTAAGCACCCTATAAAGGCAAGTGAAGGGTGGTGGACGTACCCTTTTCTCCTCCTCCACTCCTCCGTCAGGGCAACAGAGATCCTTCTTCCCCTCTAAATCTTAACAGAGGGAGCTAGATGACAGAGACACAACACAAAGTGTGTCACATTCACCAGGCTGGTTTGTACAGAAATACTAAATGCATCACAATACTCACCACCAAGGGGTAAAGACGGGGGAGGAGGGGTCTGCCTTTATTCTATTACCCCCCCGCCCCCCAAAAAAAGAGGGACCAACACATGAGTCTTTTGTGTCAGTTGCAGAGATAAGGAGTGGAATAGGCCAGGCAGCTGTTTGACTAATTCTGCGCCCATAATCTGGTTAAGGAATCTTCCTGCAGAGTGTAAGTCTGACAGCAGGAGTGGGAACAAAAGACCCAGTGGGCTTTGGGGCAGCGGCACTGTTGTGTGCACTGTAACTAAATTAAGGACCAAGAAAGATGAGCACACAAAAAGAGAGCTGAAGTTACACCACTATTGTCGAAAAACCTGCTTTATCATTAGTCTTTGAAATATTATTTGAAAAATCTCCGCTGTGTTCAGATTTGTTTAGGAATCTGTACACAGAGCAATTGAAACGTCTCAAGGCCAGATGTATGTATGAGCGCAGGCAGAGCACAAAATGTGCCTTGATGCGACTGCTATATGTGCTCACAACGCACTGAATTTAACATTTAGTTTACTAAGACTGCAGCTATTCATGCAAATTGTGCACCACCCACTGACTAGGAGCATGGTTTAAAAGGCGCACTGAAATAATGGAGCCATCAACGAGCTCGAGAAGTTCAGTGATGAAGAGATAGCCGAGTTACTAAGTGAAGCTCTTTTCAGCTAAAACATTCTACAAAGGTTTAATTCTACTGCAGATAAGGAAATACGAGTTGTGAGATGATAACACACACTGCGAGTGCATATTGTGGTCAGATTACAGCATATTTTGCACTCTGTCTTCTCATATATGTACCAATCTGGTCTCAAAAGTTTAAACAGTGTTATTCTAATGGTAGACATTCTGTCAGTGCATGTTCGAGGCTCGTTCCTCCGTCCAGCTGCTGTATCTGCTGTAGTTATTGAAGAAAGTCTTTCCACAACATGTGCAAATTTACGCTTGGTTTTAAAAGACGGAGGTAAATCGATGCAAAACCATGCAAAAGTTAGTAAATATGCAGCCTAATCACCTGCACATGTAATCCACCCCCCCCCCTTTTTGTGCAATTCTCCCACATTTTATGCAGCCCTCCCTCATGTGCACATGCATGAGGAATAGAAACATATTTTGTGCTTTTCCATGCACTTAGTGCATAAATGCATATTTAAACTTGTGTATAAGTAACATGACAACAAAACGTGTCTGATTTGTGGCTAAAACTGGAGCGAAAAGCTTTCAAATTTCCAAAGCGTTTATTACTTGTTTGTCTAAAGGAACAGATATGCTTCCCATTGCGATCAAGGTTTCAGTCCACACTGGATGCACTAGATGAGCATGTTGCATCTGTCAAAACATGAGCCCTTTCAACCTGCTGTGTAGTTTCCCACAGGTGAAGCATAAACTCCACAGAGATCTTGTCAATTCACAACTGCTACTTTCTATATTCTTCTAAACCATATTTAAAATAATAATTTACTAAAATGTGATGATCCTGGTGGCCTGGTAGTTGCTGAGCAGCTCCTGTGCTGTACTAACAGTGTGTGGAGCCTACATTTATCATTTTTTTTTATTTTCTCCCTAATTTAGACATATCAAATTCCACCCATTAGTTAGGGCTCTGCCAATCATGTGAAACCTCCAGCGCTAGGAGGGCGAAGGCTAGCACAGGCTTCCTTCAAGACCTCTGAAGCACCACCACATCTTTTCAACGCTAACGCAATGAATGTCATTGGACAGCTGAACGGACTGGGAGGAAAGCGTCAACGCTAGTTCTGTTATGTCAGCTAACAGATGCCTGTGCTGGCTAGCATTGTGCTGAGTGATGGGGGGAGACAGGGGGGCCATCCTACCCTCCCAGAGAGAGAGAGGTCAACTGAGCTCTCTTGAACTCCCAGCCACGGATGGCTGTAGCATCACCAGGGATCAAACTCGCGATCAAGCCTACTTTTATCTAATGTGATCAGTGGTAAAAACTTATAATTGTGATTTCATCACAAAAACATATTTGCTGATTTTGCACAGTAGTAAAACTGTTTAATTAAGCAGTAACAACCAAAGAGAG